GCTGATAGGGGCCGATATTTCACGTGGGCATGTTATACCTCGTTATAAAGCTTAGACTCTCTACATTCTGTTCATTTAATCCAATTTACAGACAGATAAATGTCCTAATATGTGGCTCCACATCAGTATTTATCTACGGAGTCATTTGTCTGTGTGTGTCTGTACTGTCCCTGAACACACCACAGAGTCGTCACTCACATGTGTTTGTTTACACCTGCAGACACAGATCCAAACACTGAGATTATATTCTTTTTACGGACAATCGGTTTGAGTCTGGATTAAAAGGACATTTATTAGTGCAGAATTGTGATGTGAGGAGGAGCCTGTGTGAGCGGTGAGTGTTGGAAATATGTCGACTCTGAAGCTAGTTTTTGTCATTTGTTATGGGTTAGCTGCTGTAGCTCCCGCACATAAACAGACTGTTTTCTATTGGTCTGTTCTAAAGTGACTATATTGGCCGTATATATTTGCTACTGGACCTGCACTGATATGTAAATGAGCTGTGAACAGACGTGTGAATTATGACATTTGCGCATATAATTAATTACCGCGGCGCACACGTATTTATGGCTAAAGGCTAATAGCGCTACTTTCTTTACTAGTTATGGGTCCGTCGCGAACGAAATGACTCTTAGAACCGGCTCTCTAAAGGGAACGACGGGAGCCTGATCCTTATTGGGAGCCGTGTTTTCTCTTTCTCTCACTTTTTTTTCTCTTCACGCCGCGTGATTCGTGGTTTGACAGCGGCAGCGGCTAAAAACGAAACTTTGAGAAATTTGCGTGTACGTAGGATTAAAGAAAATAAAAATTTAAAAAACGAGCATATTTGACTGTAGTTTAGCATAAAATAAATAAGTCCCGGTTTAGTCCTTTTTCAGTCCTGGTTTAGACCTGGTTCAGTCCTGATTCAGTCCTGCTTGCAACAAAACAATCTGAAGAGCCACTTGGGAGCCAAAAGAACCAGCAGCTTTTAGTGAGCCGAGCCAAAAGAGCCGGTTCTCTAAAAAGAACTGGAATACCCATCACTAGTGTCTAGAATGTGATGCAAAAATGCCATTAAGCCAACCTACTGTCTGTAAATATGATGTAAAGAGGCAGAATAACAATAAATGTTGCCTAAATAAACCCAATTTAAAATCCACCAGAGCCAAACCTAAGTTTTTTAAACAATTCAACATTTACATCACTAAATATATCGGTGATTATATCGGCTATCGGCAGCGCCAACTCCCATTATATCGGTTTCATATCGGCCACAGCAAAATCCATATCGGTCGGGCTCTAGTTTGTAATGCACTTTTTATGGCGTTGTTCTGTCAGCTTTTCCCATTTCTGACCTTTGTGGACGACTATCTTCGGTACTCTAAAAAAATCGCTTTTCCTTCTCTCGGTTAGAACAATTGGCACAGCCGTAAACTGCACAACACATCGGCATTTCCCTCCAGTCGGTTCACTTCTTGCCCTCCATCTGATTTTGCGCGCTGACAAACGTCGCCCTGTAATGTCACGTGAAACCCAGATATTCAGAATTATTATTTCCATGTAAACTCCAAGGAAAATATTTTAAGTCCAAACAATTTAATCCAGAACAATTAAAAAACATCATGTGAACGTGGCCATTGTGTTCTAACAGTGAGTTTTTTAATCATTTCAATACCAGGTTTAACATTTGTGCGTTTACCTTTTGGATATTTCGTGGCAAAGTACAGTGTGATAAAGAGTAGAGGGGTGTGCAAAAATATTGAAATATCGATATATCGTATCGTTTAATGTGATGACACAGTATCGATATTGTGGGCTGCTCTATCGATATATCACCAAGAGTATTTTTGGTTTATTTTACTAAATGATTTTGTTACAGCTACAGTTTCGTTGTTTGTTTAGTGGAAGGAAACATTTTCGCTGTTTTGAGGATTAAAATGTTTGTGTTTCATATGAACTTTGCACAAAAAGTGGTTTAACAAAGATTTTCCATGATTTAGCCTTTATTTTTTTACTGAACCGTATCGAATCGAAAGCGCACTGTATCGAGGTTTGTCTCATATCAGTGACTTCTTAACAACACTCGGCCTCAGTCAACAGGGAAACGTGGCTCTTGCCCCGTCTGGGAGTATGACATCATCACATTCTAGAACCTGAAAACCTCCCAGTTCCATCAGGTTCACGGCGCCGATGACATCATACATGTAAAGTTCCATAAAGCCTTGTTACCATGGCAACTCCGGAACTCAAAGCTAAACTTCAAAGCTTTGTGGGCTTTAACTCAAAGCTTTGTTTGGCCTCGGGGAGATTATAAGAGTAGGCAAATCACAAATCGAAAATCACATATCGCTTAACGGAAAAGGCACATTTAGCTGAGCTTGACACAGAGCAAATCGTACAAAGATTTCAAACAGTAGACTTCACAGAGGAGACTTTACAGAGTAGATTTCACAGAGTAGGTCGCACTTTTTATCTGCGTAACAGTAAGTACAGCAACACTTACAAAACAACTCAATTATAAAACAAAAATGGCCAGAAATAACAGAGGAAATATACCCTTGACCTTAAACCATGACCTTAAACTAAAGAACTGTGGTCTTCGTGTGATAAAGAGTAGAGGGGTGTGCAAAAATATTGAAATATCGATATATCGTATCGTTTAATGTGATGACACAGTATCGATATTGTGGGCTGCTCTATCGATATATCACCAAGAGTATTTTTGGTTTATTTTACTAAATGATTTTGTTACAGCTACAGTTTCGTTGTTTGTTTAGTGGAAGGAAACTCGTTTGACATTTTCGCTGTTTTGAGGATTAAAATGTTTGTGTTTCATATGAACTTTGCACTAGAAGTGGTTTAACAAAGATTTTCCATGATTTAGCCTTTATTTTTTACTGAACCGTATCGAATCGAAAGCGCACTGTATCGAGGTTTGTCTCATATCAGTGACTTCTTAACAACACTCGGCCTCAGTCAACAGGGAAACGTGGCTCTTGCCCCGTCTGGGAGTATGACATCATCACATTCTAGAACCTGAAAACCTCCCAGTTCCATCAGGTTCACGGCGCCGATGACATCATACATGTAAAGTTCCATAAAGCCTTGTTACCATGGCAACTCCGGAACTCAAAGCTAAACTTCAAAGCTTTGTGGGCTTTAACTCAAAGCTTTGTTTGGCCAAGGGGAGATTATAAGAGTAGGCAAATCGAAAATCACAATTTGAAAATCACATATCGCTTAACGGAAAAGGCACATTTAGCTGAGCTTGACACAGAGCAAATCGTACAAAGATTTCAAACAGTAGACTTCACAGAGGAGACTTTACAGAGTAGATTTCACAGAGTAGGTCGCACTTTTTATCTGCGTAACAGTAAGTACAGCAACACTTACAAAACAACTCAATTATAAAACAAAAATGGCCAGAAATAACAGAGGAAATATACCCTTGACCTTAAACCATGACCTTAAACTAAAGAACTGTGGTCTTCGAAAGCAAATTGCCAAAAAAGATGAGCACAATGAGCGGCGATGGTGGCCCTCGCCCCGGCGCGCACCGCCCCCCCACGCGACCTCCGGGGACTCGCGACCGCCCCGGCACGCCACCCTCTCTTCCCGACATTCGCCCAGGTCGACAATGACGCATTAGTGATTCAAATTTCAGCACAATCGGACTAAGCCTGTGGTGTGTGTGTGTCGGGTCACTCGGGTCATTGTCGCGATGCCCATTTTATCGAATTTTTCACCGGGCCGATCGATCTGGACCCCGGTTTGGGGACTTTTCGTCGACGTTTAGGCCCTCAAAATTGAGATCCTTTGCAAGGAAAAACAATACGCCCCTAACTTTGTTAGTGGCGAGGGCCAATAAATTATTCTGGCTATTCCGTGAAAGTGTCCGAGGTGCTCTTAAACGCATCAGTGTATCTTGGTTTCCATGGTTACATCGATGAACGCAGGTGGGTTTTTACATCGTTCTTTTTCTGTGGTAATTTTCTGCGAATAGGAATCTTTATTTCTGACAAGCTTTAACAAGCGATAGCATATAACACGTCACAATTATTTCCAGAGTTTCTTTTAATTGCCTACTGTCTAAGGGAAATTTTCACCGAATGTTTACGATCTTGCCATAGCTTGGCTAGCTAACTTTAGTCCAACGAAGTGTGCAAAATGTGCTGTTTTTTTCGACCCTTGTGTCATTATAACGTTATATATTATATCATTTTAACTAACATTACAAGTAGGCTAGGGGTGGAATGATTGAGTTTCCTACGTGCGTAAATTAGAGCGTTTGACAGGTTAGACTACTGATTTCACTTGCTAAAACATATCACAGGTATATTTATTATGTTGTGAAAAATATATTTGACAATTTTGGAAAAGTTTATGAATTTCACTTGGCTGGACATAAGCAGCACATGTGACATAGGTAATTCCAAAACTGTTAGGCCAAAATAAATTCTGTACATAATAATTATTATTTGACAAATGCAAACAAATAAGAACACATGTGTTGTGTTAAATTAATATTTAAACTGTGAGAAAAAAGCGTTCCTTAATTGTGATTAAATTGTCCCTGTCTTTTGGATTGAATGTTGTGTTTTAATGATCGAGACATTCCGTTTGAGAACTCAGCCCTACTTCCTGCCATTTTCAACTCATCTTCAAAAACAAGCCACCTGATTCACTAAAATTAGCATAGTATATATCTAATCCATGTAGAATCGACATTTCCTGTATATGTAATATAGAAGGAACTGGAGGGATGACACTGTCAAATCAGATGATCCCACCACCTAAAATAATAATCTGAAAAACCTGACAACCTATCAGTTTAAACATTAGCGTTCACATCGTTTACACTAGCCAGTGATTTTCACTTTCATTTTTTACTGAAGACAGTGGCTCACTGTTCCCTGAGTGTTGGGAGAAATCAGTGAGGAGAGAGAAACATTTTTCATAAGTGATTTAATCCTGTTTATGTCTTGTGTATTTTCTTCCATCAGTTACCAGATGTGGGAAAAGTCCTGTGCCAACATGAACAAGAGGCACAGGAACATCCATAAGTGTTTGACAAAAGAACCTTCTCAACAGTCCTATGAGGGCCAGAGTTTGGACTGGGATCCTGCAGAGTCAGACACAGAGAGCCTGGTCCAGGAAAGAGCCTATCAACAGCAGCTAAAGCTGAATATAAGCAACAGCTCTCCAGTGAAAACTGTGTGTTTCAACAACAACGTCAGCACCTCACACAAGACAAATGAAGGTTCAGGTGGTGATGATGATGATGAAGGTCTGGAGGTCTTTGACAGCTTAGAAATGTCCAATTGCCAACCTGTTCTGCCACAGGGACAAAATGTGGAGTATGAAAGAAATGAGAGCATTACAAACAGGTAGGCTATTATACTACATCGATTACTATCAGATCACTATACTGTCCAGCAGGTGGCAGTAACAGACTAGATCACCATGCAAACGGGGCTTCAGTAACAAGTGATGTATAAATGATCAAGTCAAATGCAGGTTAACATACTGTTTTTGTGTAACCATCTATAATTCTAACAATGTAATTCATCATCAGTCCTTCACTTATATCTGTTCTTGCTAAAACACAAATGATTAGGCTTCCATTGTGACAGTTAACAAAACATTGAGACAATAGTAACAACTGGGCTTGTTTTAAGCGAGAGAATAACCAGTGACTATGATAATTTAAAGTAAATGTAATGCAAAAGCATATATTCACAATCAGTCTGAAAATGGCTACCTTCAGTTTTTTGTAAAAGTGATTCTTATTTCTGTTTAAAATGAGGTAGCCAAAATCCATTTAGCAGGTAAACAAACACTACTGCCCAACAAAAATAGACTTTAAAGCCGCTTTTGTCAGTCATTTGATGACATACATGAAAGGGAGTCCTATTGTAATGTTTAAATTCACCTTCTTCATAATGTCAGCTTTTATGGAAGGGAAATTAGATTTTTGTTTTGGCTCAGGTAAATCACAATAAGTGTTCTTTGTGAAGGCTCTTTTCAGGAGGCAAAGGTGTCTATGGCGAGGACTCTGACACATCTGTTTATTTGCACCCTTTTAGTTGTTTCCTCTCGCCTTCCTTCAGACACTATGTGATAGTCATTTCTCTTCAAAATAGAAAGGGGGCATTTTCCATTTTCCTGTCATTAACCCGAGTGAATTGATGCCCACCAAGTGTGGGTCTGCTTCTAAAGTACATTGTTTCATGGGAAAATGACCATGACATATTCTGACAAAAGGCTCTATTTCATAAAGCCAGACAGTGGACACAATCCTATTCCCATCATCATGTTCTCATAGTCCTCTCCACTGCCTCCTCAAAGCGGGTAAACCCTTTCACACAATGGCTGTCATTGCATAGTTTACAAACCCATTGGGCATTCTTCATTCAAGTGAAAGATTCCTATTTAGGATGCTCCATTCATCCCTTTGCTCCATACTTCACAGCTCCAACTTGAAATATTATAACGGATGTTTGAGCAAAGACCGTATGAGTATTTCTCATCTCCTCATTCACTGGCACAATATGACACTATTTCTCTCTCCTTTTGTATTTGTATGTTGGGCGAGAAATAAAGGGCTGTGTTGTATTGGCAGCGCCCAGCTGCATGTAGCCTGTAATGCATTCTACAACTTGTTTGAATGTAAGTCATTAGTGAGGCATCCCTTACCCTATTGGCCTCATAAGAAGTGAAGGGCCCTACACCTAGGTAACCCTCCCCCAACACACAACATGAGCGACCGTAGAATTAGGCTCCCCTCGTCCTCCTGTGTAAGCACAACAAAGAGGCTCTCTGCTATTTATTTAATGAGATCTTTTCATCACCATCAGAAAGAGCATTTTAGCCTGCAATTTTGGGGCCATTTCATAAGCTGAAAATTGCCGTTTGTGAACCATTCCCCCGCTAGTAGCTCTCAAACACACTCTCATTAGTGAGCTCGGAGGTGAAAATACGAAAATTATCTGTAACTACAGCCTCATAATCCCTCTCATCTGTTTCAATTTGAAAAGTCTGTGATACAGCCCATTGGCCTTTGTTTAAAGGCCCCATCATTGTAATCATGCTCTCATGCCTCTTGCTCCGCTGACCCTGCCAGAGGACTACAATGTGTCAAGATGTGTTTGCAGTTTCCTTTAGAAATGGAAATCTCATTAATGAGGATGTTTACCAACAATTACATGTCATTTGACTAATTATGTAATTATACCTATGTGTGGATTTGGATTTGATATCTCCCGTTTGCCTTGATTCTGTTAAATGATAAACACTGAGTTGAATGACATAATTGCTGTTGTCTGTTTTGTCATTGAAGCCAGGTGTTCCCAGATGATGTCTATTCACACCTGCACTATGGGACCAACCCAAAGATGAGCTCCAAAGCAGTGGGATGGCCCCGGGAGGGTCCCCTCATCTCTGTGGATGAATCTTTTCTCTCCACAGAAGAACACCTTTGCAGAAACAGTAAAGAAGGACTTAAAAAGGATGGATACATGTTGGTGACTGACACAAGTCAGCAACTGATGATTCCTCAAAACCTCCACTGTGATCAGCCATATCTTCTGCATCCACAATATGGATGCAATAATGCAATCTCTACACCTACACCCGCTCAGTGCACCAATGTACAGCTAAGACCATCTGAAGAAAACCATAAACATGAAACTGAAAATAATAGTGCTACTTCAGCATTAACAGAGGAACATGTCACACACAATCAAAACCACACACAAGTAAAACCAGGACAAATGGACAAAACTGCAAAAGCACAAAAGGAGAAGGACATAGTGAAGCAGAACAAACTGACCCTGGGACGTAACACGACAAAGTATGGGTCCTATGTAAAGGCCCATGCACTTAGAGGACCCCATGGATTAAGGGTATGTACTCTAGAATATGGTTTCTCAAATGCAACTTCAGGTGATAGGCGTCTTCTTCAAATATTTGCTGAATGTTAAGTCAATTTACATTACATTACATCTACATTTCTGTCCTCCTTTGGGTTAGTCCTGGTTTAGAACTGGCATAGCAATTGTGTAGTCCAGATTTAGCACATGTTAAGACCTAGAATACTCCAGGTTCCACCAGGATGCACCTCACGTGAGTCACCATCACACACAGGTCAATAAGAGTAAACAAACAGCAACAATTACTCATACAAGTGGAGGGTTTCTCAAATTTTTATATTTACGTAACGTCACTGAAGATATTAATGATCAGGCTATGTCAAATATAAGTGTCTATTTACACCTTCACTCGAAAATTTCAGATTCTAGAAGGTGATAATGCCATATGGGAGCAAGAGACAGTATTTCCTTTTGATTGCATTGTACTTTGCCATGAAACATCCAAAAAGTGAATTCACAAATCCTGAATTTGGTATTTTCAGTTATTGACTAAACACAACAACTCACTATATTACAACATCATTTTGCTTTTTAACAATATTAATTCTAGCTGCCCCATCTGCATTAATTAATATGGCCCTACAAAATGCTGTGCTGTCATCTTAAACCCAGCAATATGTGCATTTTTGCAGTTAAACATCTGCCTTTCATTTGTTTAAACAAGTTTTGAACTGCTCAAGAATCCCCTAACAAACAGACCAGAGCAGAGCAATCACAATGAAGATTGATTTGACAGCATTTTTTGGTGACGTACAATCTTTGAAACATGCTTTACTGCATTAAATCATCTTAAATTATTAAATGGACAGTGAACTAGTGGAACAACTGACAGACCATGTATTTAACCCTTTCTACCAATATACAATTTAAGATAATAAAAAATAGCCCGACACGTTACTGTGCACCCTGGTGTAGGCGGAGGCAGAGGTGGATGGATGTGGGTGGAAGTTTACAACTAGAACCTTTGAAAACAGGAGATTTGTCTTGCTTCAGTATTCTATGCAGTTTAACGTCCTGCAACTTTACTACTCCTATATAGTGTTTAGTTGTTGCAATGACAGAAGCTGACACCAGGAGCTGCTCTAGCATTAGTAATGGTGGTAACGTGGAGGTGCTTTTGTGTCTAGTAATGCTGACATATCTGAAGTATCTTTGAAAATATGTGATCAATACATTTGATTCAGATTCAGAAAACTTTATTAGACACAGAGGGCAATTCATTTACAGCATTCTCAGAGGAGTTTTCACATACACATGAACACAAACAGTGTGCCAGTTCGTTGTAGTTTACAAGTGGACTGGACAGTACAACATTATATTAGAATGTATGTTAGAGTAGAGAAGCGATTTAAACATTTTTTTATTATACTGAAAGTTGCTAACCTCAAAAACACAGGTGTATGGGGCGTATTTTTAACAGTAATTTATTTTAAGTGTGGAGTTGTCAGTGAAGCTTTTATGACAGAGTTAAGTGGAAAAAAGGTTGATGATTTGATCAGCAGATTCAGAACCAATATAATGTAAAAATATATTGCAGATTGGCGTGGTTGTTTCATAGTATAATGTACAATTGTCCCACAGTGACGCACAAAAACTATATTGAATCAAGCTATATTTAACGCTTTTTCCTCTTTATTTGTACTGGGCAGGTATCTGTCATGTATCTGTGGTTTACTGTCATCACCAGAGCCACGAGAATATTCAATGATGTGTCTTCTGACCAAAACTGGGAATTTAATTTAGTTGAGGAGGCTAGCTATTTTCATGTGCTTGTCCTCCACGGTCTGAAAAGGACCATGTCTGGCAATGCACTCCTTATTATGAGTTGATGTGTACAACAAGAACATCAGAGAAGCATGGTTACCAATAGCCTCTCAGATACCCTGCACCTGGCACAGTGGTATAATTGGTTGTGAAGGTCCCCAGTCCCCATTTGTTGGCCCACCAGACTGTTGGCTGTCTGTAATACCCCCGAGCCTGTGCACCCATCTGAGCCCCGCGCGCTGCTTCCTCTCCTATCACTGCCATTTACATAGTCGAGAGCTGTTATCTTTGTGCCATGGTAAACAGAGCCAGGGCCGGTTGCCTCTCATGCACATTGTGTTTTGTCATTTTGCGTCTGAAACCGCTTATTAGTTTTCTATTGCCTTGTATCCTCAAAGGCGTGTCGCTGTAATGGGGACAGAGGGTATGAAAAAGGGGAGAAATCTGCAATGTGCACAATTTTTATGCGTTGTTGAAAAGGTCTAAAGAAGTAATCCAGCGTTTCCCAGGAGACTATGGCAGCCCCCATAGTCTAAATACAAAATGAATAATAGATAAATAGACAAAACAACATTATGCTTTATTGCTTGTAGTACTGTGATATACATATATGAGTTCTGTGATTCTGGTGTTCTGTCATTTTTATGTGGCATTAATCTCTATAAGCTGAATTAAATAAATATATAAATAGTATAAATAAATAAATTAAATATAGGTCACTTGTTCCACTAAGTTTAAACACACATTAATCCAAATAAACAGTTTTAAACCTAGAATAAAATAGGAAAAAAAAGTCACCTATTGATTAGATTAAAATTGGACTGATATAGCACTGTATTTGCTGAACGTTTGCACGCTTCTACTTTGAATATAATATCATTTTTATTTGATTAATTGTGTTTGATGTATAAAACAGACAGGCATACATATACAGTAAGTTTTATACATAAAGACCAGGCTGTACAAACTCAAATTCAAGTCAAAGATAACCCTTACAAGCAGTCTTCTTTCAGTTGTACTTTGCTTCCGTATCCATTTCCTTTTCAGAAATCTGTGTCTTCAGGTCCAAATGGGATCCTTTTACTCAATCAGCCTGGCTCCAGACAATCAAGTAGTTAGAGCCTTTTACCCTAATCTTAGTCTTTTGAAGAGAGTGACCCAGCCAACACCACTTGTGATAATTAGACTTGTTATTAAATGTACACAATTTCTTAATGCAGCAAATGTTTAGTTGGGCCAAGTGGCAGAGCGTCAGTCGCGATGATTGGCTTGGTCTTCCTTTGATAAAGACAGAAGTAGCAGATCAATCTTGTAGTATTGCACTCAGCCCCTCCGAGTCCCTGCTCCTCTCACAGGCCCTCACTTCAAAGCCAGGGGGAACATAATGTACAATCTTTTAATAGCTTTAGACCAAAGCTTCTGGGGAGCTCTCTACCACTGTATACCGTGGCTCAGTCAAAACACCTAATCAAGATTACCTGGGCCGGCCACAATAGCAGCTAAATGCAATTCAAGAATCCGCAGCCCCTTTGAAGTCTTCATTGGGAAAAGCAGATGTTTCCCGGTACAGGGGGTAATACAGCCTGCCACGATTGCCAGACTTTGTTGTGATATGGTCTCTGAGAAGCAATTACGGGCCCCCCAATTTACCAGAGAAGATATTACGCTGCTTATCATGCTTCAAATGCAATATGTGGCTTGATCATTTGCTCCAACTGATTGGGATTTTTATAATGGGTGATAAAAGGCGGCGGTGCGGGCCGATGGGTGCAGGTGAAAGGCTCATCACATACTACACTCTGACACTCTCCAGGCTAGCGCTTGTGTCTCATTGTTGTTAAACCAACTCAGACTTAGACAATCATCGGAGCACCATAAGGTCAAAAAGACATGTCCACAAATATGCCCTGGGTCTGGAGAATAAAGCACGTGGATGTCCGCCTATTATAAAAATGCTTATTGATAGATTTGTAACAATTGGATCCATGTTCCTGACCTTCACCCATACACCCTCACAGTATTAGTGGCATTCAGTGAAAAGTCTCCATTCTGTCAATATCATTGATCCACTCAGATGGTCCTCCTCCACAGAAGGGGGTCTTGAAGTTGACTAAATGATTTTCATTAGAGCATTAACACAATGTATTTCATTGCTGTAAACTGGTGCATTAGAAACCACTGGAGCTGCAGACAATATTATGGTGAACATTGAAATATGCAATGTAGAAAAAGGAAAAGTTATTTTATAGGGCTACAAGATTATTCACATTTGAATCAAAATCACAATTTGAATGGACACAATTAGCAAATCTCAAAGGCTGCAATCCATAGTTTCCTCCACAAACAACAAAATATCCTGTTTTATTCTGCATAAAATATTCTAATCCTGCAGTTTCGACTTGTACAAACATGTTCTGAAATATGACTATGATTGTATTAGTTTGTCAGTTCATATTTCATTCTTTCTATCAATTTTTCTGGATGTGTTTAAAATATAAACTTTGAACAGAATCCTATTATCAAAACATAAATCTAAACGCTATCTAAATAATTGTGAAAAATCGCAATTACATATTTTTCCCAAGTCGTTCAGCCATATTATTTTATCACATGTGGCGGTTGTGTTTCATTATTATTTTCTAATTCACATTTCTATTTTTACAGGCACAGCAAGCCCCAAAAGCGACCTCCAGCTCCGACATTCAAAGCAAGATTGAGCTGCCAAAAACACAGCAGGTAAAGGTAAGTTCCCAAATCAATACGTTTCAATCAAAAAGCTTGAGTTTTTATTAAAGACCCGTTAATTCTATAAAAGTGTAGCAACAGTGGGTGGGATAACAGACAAAAACATGAGGGAGAGGCATTATTGTTTAAAGTACTTGAGTAGCCGCAGTATCGCTTGTACACAGAGCCGTCGAGCTCTCCCCTGTGGAAAGGGCCAAGGATGTGTGCTCTAAATCAGCTTCATTCATGCACACTCGCACCGCTCCACAGATCTAATTTGGTTCGATGATGCAGAGGAGACGACTACGCCACCTCGTCCAAGCAAAGATTTAGGCTCCACTACAGTTCAGTCTTGTGTCTCTGCAAAGTCGGATTTAGATTTGATAGCGAGAGTTAACTACTGTAATTTACACAGACTAATATACAAATTTTTGTAACGGGCCTATAGTTCATTATTTTCTGAGCTATGTTATTATGTTTTTGCCTCATCAAAAATATACTTGGAGTTTTGTTTCATTCACACATGTTTAACCCACACACTTTCAGTCAGAAAATACTCCTTGTTCCTCTCTTGTGATGACATGTTGTAATAAAGGAAGTGCTTCATACATCTTCACTAGAATCATCTGGAAGGTCTGGCCTAGATTGGCCTGAATTGCCAATCTCTACTGAACTACAGGTAAAAAGTAGCTGTTTACTTAGTACATCACAAGATGGAACAGAGCATTTTGAGGTTTGTAGATGTAGACAGAGTAATAATAAAGCATTACTCAAATGTGTGAATGAAACAAAACACAATTCCTGGTATGTTTGTGGTGAGGTTACAACATTATAACATGATTTAAAGCTGACAAGAATCAATTTTATGTAATTTTATGTTAGAAACAGTTTGCTTGTTATGTTAGAAGAAGATTATAATCCGCCTAATTGTTTTCTAACCTCAGGTCAGGCCGATGAGAAAAGAGAAGAAAGCCGAGCGGAAAGAAGACTTAACTCCATCTGGACCTCTGCAGCCTCTGGCCCCAGGGGTCAGAGCCGAGCAGGGACACAGGCTGAGCTCCACTATAACAAAAGCCGCTGTAAAAAGACTCAAAGCTCCAAGTTCATCCCAGCCTCTGTCTCCTACCATCCACCTCAACATTAACCTCGACACTACACCACATCTGCCACTGTTAAGTACACAGCAAATACCCCAGTCTATCATCAAACTGTCCTATCCACACGTCAGCCCTGAACTACAGATCTCTCTGAGTCCAGGTATTACACAAACAAGGCACAAAAACCCCTCCATGGCTTATCAGGGTATTAGTGGTCTTCATACAAACCTAAACCAATGGAACCTGGAGAACATCCCAGAACAATGGCAAAGGTAAAACGCATCTACACGATTACACGTTATTGTTGTACACATTGTGCTACAAGCCAAACTTATTTATAATATTTAAATGTATATGGAGTTATGCCCTGTGCTCACTGGCGGCATAATGCATCGTTGCCAGATTCAGAGAGCAACAAGTGATGAAGCCTTAAAAAAAATCCCCAAACAAGCGATTCCAGCCCCACAAAAATAAATAAAAAGAGCCAACTATACTTAAAGGGGCTGTGTTATGCTGTTAACTGATCTATGTTATAATGTTGTTTCCTCATCACCAACATACCTGGAGTTGTGTTTTGTTTCATGTCTAACACACAAACCCTGCATATTTAGTTTAGTTAGTTTAGTTGTTCTTTCAAATGGAAAACACTCCTTGTGATGTCATATAGTAATAAAGAAAGTGCTCCACCGTGTTTTTAAACTTCATACACCTTCACTAGAATCATTTGGATGATTTCAAGCCTGGAATTGCCAATCTCTATTGAACAAAAGGTAAAAGATATATCTGTAAACTTGAAAACTACTGTTTTATGACATCACAAGGTGAAACAGAGAGACTAATAATAAAGGGTTACTGAAACATGTGTGAATAGAACAAAACAAAACTCCAGGTACCTTTAGAAGTTGTGTATGGCAGCTGAGCGATTGCTAATGATGCATATATCAAAATGCATATATTTTCAGTAGTGTCTGCTTTGAAATATTAACAGTTTGTATTGCAGTCATTACTGGGTCTATTTACTGCAGAGAAACTGAAAAACACAACTGTGACTCAAAATTTGTGTGATTTTCTCAAAAAAAAAAAAAAAAAAAAAAGCCCATATAGCCATATAGATGCTATAAAGAAGCAAACTTGACAACTCTGGTGTAGTGGTTTAAGGTATCCCTACCATTTCTCCTCTCTCCCTTGTATACTATAGCTGTCCAATCCAATAAAGCCAATTTATGTTTAACCTCTCAAATTAACTGTCCCAAATGTGAGACTATTTAGCTGATGATATGTTCTGTTTTCAGATTGACTGCAGTAAAAGAACAGTTAATCTTTGAGGAAGAGGACCAAAGGGAAAGTGTCTCTGAAGACCAGACTGTACCACTGCTCTCTGATTCACCCTCCAGCACTGCCCAAAGCTCCGGCTCCAGCTACAAAGTGCTGCCCCCTATAGGCCAGCCGGGACCAGAGCAGGACGATGAGTTACGTTCCACACAGTCTGGCCAAAGAAGAGTCTCTGATGGTTACCTTGTGCAGACGGAGAAAAAGAAGCAGTTGCAAACACAGACTGCATATAAGGTTGGTGGCTGTCCTTGTTGTATTGTACACTTTTTTTTATTGAGCTTTATTTACACAAAAGCCTTTTTTTAAATTTATTTTTTTATGTAAACGTTACCAGAATAAATAAATGATGAAAAAAAAAAAAAAAAAAACAAAACAAAAACAAACTTGGTAGTGTCAACAAAATAAACTAAACTAAATAAATAAATTACATAAAAATAAATTACATTGAAATTAAATTAAACAGAACATGGAATGCACTTCTTAGACAATTTCACTCGCTTCCATAGTTTGAAAGGACGCAAGAAAAGGACTCCAGAGTATGTACATTTTTTTAACTGAGCCTTTGGTTGTAGATATGAGTACATGACAGCCTAACTCTAGGTCTGTCACAATAACACATTTTGAAGAATGAAGTATATATGAAATATAGACAATAAATAATAATATTGAAACAATTTCATGCCATTGACATGATAACCCTAAAGCAAAATTATGCCCAAAAACTATTGTAAATATGTAATATGGTTACATAACATAAAACTGCCATAAATAATTAGCAGAAACACTTGAAACACTTATGTATGTTAGTTTTGACATATAATGAGTCATAGAAGTAATTTATTCTGCCCTCTACATCTCAAATCTAATCATAAAAAAAAAAAAAAAAAAAAAAAAAAAAAAAAAAAATCCCCATTAGTACAAAAAAAAAACAAAGTTCCTATGATAAATATTGACTTTCAAAAATGAATACGATTACTTGGTATTGTGATTATCGTAACAGGCCTACCTAACTCAGAACCAATATATAGACAATTGTTGTTCCTTCCAGCTCAGTAAGCTCCTCCTATGACCTAACACCATATTGAAAGCCACCAGACTTGCCTTTGCCTCAGTTAAATATAAACTAGTAGTCACTCCAAACACAGCAACAAATGGACCAGTATGCATCGCACACTTAAACCAGCATGCATTGTGTCACTCCCAAAACGCTTTCTCTAATCCTCATGAATTTTAAATTGTTTCGGCAAGGTTCAGTGCACACAATAGTCTTTGAACAACCTGTAGATGTTAGTTAGAAAAACACATTATGCAGTTTCACCACACAAAAGTGCCACATGGATTCCTAAATTGAATGGAACAGACCATTAATCCTTACATACAAGAGGTTACACAAATAAATGTCCCTTTGAAGTCCCGTATAATCCCCTGAGCTGTCTCCATACAGGCCCTGCTTAATCCACTGAGAGTTCTAGTGGGGCACAAAACATCAGCCTAATTGTCTAGCTCCACTAAGATACACTTAATTGGTATAAGATGATGAAAAGCCACGTGAAGATGTGTTGGGAGATAAGGTGATTAGACCAGAGTGTGTGCAGGACGGCCTCACTAAAGATCGGTCTTTCCATTCTTTTATTGCCCTTCTGTTGTTTCATAGCTTCATCATTGGCTTGTTAACGGCGACAGGGCAGGTGGGTCTACAAAGTGTACACTGTATGGTACGGCTTTGAGGTTGTGCCAACTTTCAGTTTAAAGAGGCTATACTGTGCAAAAGTGTCTGCTGTGAGCTTTTAGTCATGCTATAATGCTGTTACCTCCTTAAAATATACCTGGAATTGTGTTTTGTTTCATTCACACATGTCTGGAGATGTAAACAGATTAATAATGCAGGATTAATCAGAGCTCAAAATGCTCGGTTCCACCTTGTGGTGTCATGTAGTGGTAGTTTTCATGTTAACAGCTACCCTTTAGTTCTTCAATTAATAAAAACACCTGGAAGTGAATAAATGCAAAATAGCTTAATGCCTAGCTTATACTGCCCTATACAGGCAGAACGCTGTAACATCATGCTTGGTCAAAAATTAGTTCATGTCATTTTGGGGGTATTTGAGACTTCCTTTATCATGTGAATAAATATCGTGAGCCAAATCAGTTGTTGTAACAAGAAAATAAAGGGCTATGACAACCGTAACATTCAAAATAATACGAGGAACCCCAGCAGAACGCCATAAGAGTTATTTTTTTCAGTTTCACACTCTGGCGAGTTAAGGTCTTTTGCCTTTAGAGGGCAGTATATATCATAATCCAGTATTCCAGGTAAAGCAATAACATCTCCATGAAAACAAGCAGGTCCCACCAGAAATGTTGCAAAGTGCACCTTTGTCCTATATTATACAAAATGGACTCTTATGAGCTTTAAACCATGTTGTAATATTATTACCTCATCAAAAACAAACCTGGAGTTCTGTTTTGTTTCATTCACACATCTTTGACTAATCCTTTGGTCTTTAGATTGGTCTGTTTATATCTCCAAAGCTCAAAATGCTCAAAATTGCACCTTGTCATGTCACCAAGTGGTAGTTTTCAGGTTAAGTTTTCCCTAACTTTTACCATTACGAAAATTCCACGCTGAAATCCAACGACTTTAGTGACGGTGTATGGAGTTAAAAACACAGAAGAGTACGCCTTGCATTACCACATGACATTACAAGGAACAGAGTGTTTTCCATTTGAGAGAAGAACTACACCTAAATATGCAGGGTTTGTGTGTTAAACATGTGTGAATGAAACAAAAGAAAACTCCAGGTATGTTTTTGATGGGGAAACAACATTATAACAGATCAGAAAAGAGCGTAATATGGGTGGTGTGTAAAGTTTGCCTGATAATAATAAGCTAAATTGACAGTGCTTAGAAACAGGTCAAATAAATTCATACATAACACAGAAATGAATTGGTTTTAGTTCACGAAAGCTTGTTTGCTGATAGTGGGAGGTGCCCTTTACGCCTTGCACTGCTATTGAGACAGTGAATTGTAAAACGCTACAGTATACGAAAGCAGTGTCACCGCAGAGAGACTAATTGCTTGCATGTCTCTCTATGTAAGCCGCACTCTGATCGATTTAACAGAACAATGGCCCAAAACCGGAAGCCACGATTATGTGCTTAGGCCTCTGTGCCCACTGGAGCCTTCACATGGTCCTCCTGTCGCGCCCACCAGGCCCCCTCTCTCCCCCTACCTCCCCCCATCATGTCTGACCAGATTACACAAGGCTTTAAGCCGTAAGATCACCGTACTGGCCCCGGAGCAGATAACTTGGAGGTTTGAAAAGAATAGGTGTCCCGTTGTGTCTGTGACTGATCACTAATTCTCAGTACATCTCAGGAGTACTCAAAATCCTGCTTGAAATTGCAATTGTTTTGGTCTTGGTCAACTTTGCGATTTAGGGAAAAATGTCGAATTGATACTTTGAGGTGTTCTACATGTATCTCTATTGACAGAGTGTTCAGCAGTTACCATGGTGACACAATGCACACATTAGTAAATACAGACAAAAAGTAGTACATCTGAAAACATGAGAAAAAATACAAACTTAAACAACACATTTTTAGCAGCCTGTGATCAAAAGAAAGCTCTCTTTTTGATAATGCGACAGACTTTTGAGAGACTTGTTTAACAGCACAAATCAGCTCACCTGTTCCAGTGTAATTCCAGCCAAGCCCGCGCTTTCTGGTCAGATTGTGTTAAAATAATGCTCAGATTAAATCTAACTTGAGTAAGAGCTTCAGACAGAGTAGAGCCTGTCTGAAGCATCACAACCCCAGAAAATGTTGATGATTTTAGCTGCAAAATAAGTATCAACTGCATTTTTTCTAACCAGCATTGCAATTAGATTTGCAAGTTTTTTTAATACTAGGATTCTGTTCAAAGTTCATATTTTAAACATGTTTGGGCAAAATGGAAAATAGGTCTATGAACTGACAAATTAATATAAGAATCACTTGTGTTTCAGAACATGTTTGTACAGGTTTGCAGTGGTCCAAAGTAGGGGTGTAACCATATCTAAGTCTCACGATACGATATCGTCACGGTATGAACCTCACGGCGCGATATTTATTGCAATATCGTGGGAAAGTTTATGATATGGTGGGGAGGCTCGTGATTAGGGATGCAAGAATATCCAAATCTCTTGGTACGATGTTTTCACAATACACATCTCACGGTATGATATTTATTGTGATATTTTGTGGAGGTTAATAAAACTGTTAATATGCTACTTTTTCCTCTTAAAATGCCTTGACAAGACTTAATCCAAATAACTAACACTTAAAAGTGCTTAGAATTTTTATTTCTTCATGTAGTCTGCACTGAAATAGAGCAAAGGATCATGGTCGATGTAGTTCTCTGTATTTTTTAAACTATTGCTGTACCATAACTCTTAATTTAAGCAAAGAGACTTATAATTCGATATATTGTGATGATCCACGATGTTATTGTGAGAACTCCGATGATACAATATCACAATATTTTGGTTATTGTTACATCCCTAGTCCAAAGTTATTCCTTACTTACCTTATGCATCCTAATTAATTCACAGTGATGAGTTTATAAGCGCTTTTCACAACTCCAGAGACCAGAGATTTTTGCAGTGAGGGTAAAGCTAACAACAACTAGCATGCTAACGTGCACTTCCTGATCCTCGGACAATAAACACGCTTTATAATTAGATACTAACAGTACACAGTGGACTTATTTTAACTCTGAGAGCTGCTTTTACAATATATCTGTATTAGGGCAAGGCATGGGGGAGAAATGGATACAGAGCTTATAATAATCATTTATATAGTTTATTCCACAGCAGTAATAAGTTATTTTTATCATTAACAAACAGGTACTCTTGTGTGTATTAAAGATACAATTATTATTTCCTCTTTGTGAAATGTTCATGTCAAGAACTCTTTGTGAGGTCAGCTTGCTCTGTTCAACCCAAAAATATCTGAAAAATGTGCCCCTCTCCTGTGTGTTACCGTACATAGAAGAACACTATATCTCCAACCAAGAAAGAGGACAGGAAATACTACAATACAGCCTTAGTTTATTAAGAACGAGGCCTAGTAACTACTTTATTAATACCTTACCGTAGGATTAACCTCTAAGTTTAAGTAGTTACTAAGCCTGAATAATTTTAATAAGCTATTATGCTGTTATATCTGTATAAATTAAAGGTCCTATATTATGAAAAATTGCCTCTTGTGAGCTTTAAGCCATGTTGTAATGCTGTTACATCCTCATAAACATAACTTGAGTAATCCTTTATTATTAGTCTGTCTACATCTACAAAGGTCAAAATGCTCTGTTCCACCTTGTGATGTCATGAAGTGGTAGTTTTCAAGTTAACAGCTACCTTAACATTTTGGCTAGTAGAGATTGGCAATTCCAAGGCTAAAATCATCCAAATGATTCTAGTCAAGGTGTCTGGCGTTTACACAGTCGAGCAATTCCTGACATGACATCACCAGGTGGAGCAGGGCATTTTCTGTTTGAGAGAAGAGCTCAGCCTAAATATGCAGGGTTTGTGTGTTTAAACGTGTGAATGAAACAAAACACAACACCAGGTATGTTTGTGATGAAGAAACAACTCTATAACATATGGGCCCTTCAAGTCTTTGTTCATCCTTTATTATAAATAATTTTTCCTTGTATTAAAAATCATTGCCTTTAAAACATGTATATTGTTTATTTCACTTACAAAACTACCCATATCTGCTAACTATAACTATATAATTATTTGTCTCCAACATATTTTCTGTTTAGGCCTACAGCTTGAAAGATTACAAGCAGCTGAAGCCTGATGTGACTCTTCGAGGCCTTGGACCAGACTACTCTGCTATGGAGAAAACAGTAAGGGTCATCACTAACAGTAATCTATAACATAAGGCTATGTATCTAATGTTCTAATAATAGGCCATACAGCTGGCTCCTTAACCAGCCTGATCATTTGTGTGAGCTTTCTAGCAGCATTTGAACAGCAAAATGGATTCACGCGAGATTTGTGAGTTCACAAATTGAACCAGTCACAGAGCAGCATTGTGGCTCCTTAATGAACCTAAGCAAACATGGCGATGCAACAGATGTAGCTCAGTTCATTTTAGTGAAAAATACTGTTTTGTCCATAAAAAACTCGCAGACGGAAGCACTTTTTGCATTTGTGGACAGGAAATATGTTTTTGCGTTTCCTTCAACTGGATTTAACTTAAGTAAAAATTTCATCTCCCGCTGTTGTGAGGCTTTGACCAATCAGCTTGACGTCTTAGTTTGAACATCCTGATAGGTTCTGATCCCTTAAAGCGAGAGTCATGCCAAATTGATAATGTGTAGAACTCAATTCACAGTGCTACACACATCAATCTGGTGAGCCAGGTTAGACCAATGGGCTGTGCCTCCTCAAACAGTGCATCCATTGGTGTCATTGTGTACCACTGACCCTCTCTCATTTGTCTGAGTCCACATTTAAAGGCTCCCAGGCCGTGTCTGCAGCTAAAATTACATTTACAAAGCAAATGAGACTCCCCCTAAGAAGTTAAGTGCTCTCTGTGCTTTGATATATCTTTTGTTAATCTGCAGTTGTAAAAAGTGAGCATGTTTGGCCAATTTGCACTAGATTGATCCCCGTGCATCTTCAGGGCCAAGCCTATTAGCGAATGATATGTGTAAATGTTGAAAGACCCCTTGAATGGATGGCTCTGTTAGGGTTTTGTTGCGCTCTGTGGAGAGGTTGAGCCGAGAGTGCGCACAATGAGCAAGGGCCTTAAGGGAGAAATGGCTCCGTTAATTAAAACCCTTTCATAATCTGCTCTGTCTCTTCTCCCTCTGTTACCATCAACATGCGGAGAAAATGAGGAGGCAGAAGCTGTATTCAAATATGATCCGTGAGCAGAACAAAACCACGATTAGGAGTCCCTGTCTACCAGCCAAGGACCTGGAAGCCAACAAGAAAGTTGCCAGATTAAAGGTCTGTATTTACATCATCAACATGTTTTGTTTAACAAGAATCTGAGAATTGGTGAATGTCTCTCTTTGCCCTTTCTTTAAAATACTGCTGAAATTGTGTTTTGTTTCATTCACACTTGTTTAACACACAAATCCTGCGTGTTTAGGCTGCATTCTTCTCTCAAATGTAAAAATTTGTTCCTAACTTGTGTCATGTGGTAATACAGGAAGTGCTCCACTGTGTCTTTAAACTTCATACAGCTTCACTAGAATAATTTGGATAATTTCAGCCCTGGAATTGCCAAACTCTACTGAACTGAATATAAAAGGAGCTGGTAACTTGAAAACTACCACTTCATGACATCACAAGGTAGAACAGAGCATTTTGAGCCTTGGCGAAACAGGATTAGAGCCGGATTACACAGCAGGATTCACAAACATGTGTGAATGAAACAAAACACATCTCTATTTATGCTATTGAGGAAGTAACAAGATAACATAACCTAAAGCTCACAAGAGTCAATTTTGAGTAATATGAGACCTTTAAAAATAGTAGTTACATGGAAAAGATAAAAGAAAACAACTCTCTACTTTGAATTTGCAATTACAATATCCATTAAAAACATGAACAACAGGCCCAGAATGAGTATGCTTTGAATCACATTTTACAGACTAAGGCATCTGTTCAATAAAACCATCTCAGACTGTGTGAAATATTTAACTTCTCTCTGCTTTTACAGAAGTGTTTTTCTGTACACTAGTGATTCTGCTTAAATATCAAGTTTATTTTGAATACAGGAAATAGTAGCCTCTTATTTGTGATATGTCAAATTCCATATATCTTGAAAAGAAAATTCTGCCTCGAAGAATTTCACACATTTTCACAATAATTTCTCTTATAGTCAAGTGTTAAAAGTGTCTTGGATACAACAATATTGAGTTAAAGGTCCTATGGTACGCAAAATTGACTCTTATGAGCTTTAAGCCATGTTATAATGTTAGTACCTCATCAAAAACATACCTAGAGTTTTCATTTTTCATTCACACATGTTTGAGTAACCCCTTTTTATTATTCTGTCTACATCTCTAAAGCTCAAAATGCTCTGTTCCACCTTGTGATGGAAGTGGTAGTTTTCAAATTAGTTAGTTTTGAAGGGATTGGCAATTCCAGGGCTGAAATGATCCAAATCACTAAATATGCAGGATTTGTGTGTTAAAATGTTCAAATGAACCAAAACACCAGCTATATTTTTGATAAGGAAATAATATTATAACAGATCAGAAACTAGCGTAATATAGACCTGTTAAATGCCTTAATTAAACAAAAACTGCAATATACAAATTGCTTCTTGGGTACCATTCATTCATCATAAATCTGGTCTTTTGCAGGCTTTGGAGTACGCTAAAACCATCGCCAAACCGCTTGCCCCGGTCCAGTCAAAAAAGAAAGACAAACAAAAGGTGAATCTCACCGAGCATGCGCCGTATGTGGAGGGACTGGACCTGTCCCAGCTGACCACTCTGGAACTGCTCAGGAAAAGGCATGAACAAGAGAAACAGGCAGTGGAAATGTTACGCATTCAGCATAAGTGCAGTGTGACAAAAAAAAGCTGAATCCTGCAACATGTGTTTGCTGTAGTAAATAAACAAATATTTCACACAGATCAGTGGCTAAATATTCACAAACAAGTTCGGTTTAGGGATGTGCAATGAATATTTAAAGGTTCTACACACAAATAGATTCTTGTTAGGTTGAAGCCATGTTTGAATGTTGTTACCTCATTGAAAACATCCCTAGAGTTGTGTTTTGTTTCATTCACACATATTTGAGTAACTCCTTATTATTACTCTGCCTACATCTCCAAAGCTCAGGTACCATTTACGTTTTGTGTAATAAAGATTGGCAATTACAGGGCTGAAATTATCCAAATGATTCTAGTGAAGGTGTATGGAGTTTAAAAACACAGTGGAGTGCTTCCTGTAATACCACATGACATCACAAGGTGGAAGAGAGTGTTTTCAGGCTGAGAGAAGAACTCAGCCTAAATATATATTTGTGGAATCCAGTTGTCCTTTTTAATACCTTAATGATAATTTACAAATAACTTTCAAAATAGTTGTTGAAAATATGAATTGCACTCTCTAGCTATGGCATGTACACCAAAAATCTGACTGGAGTTATCAGATTATGTAAATAGTTCTGATGTGAGTAACCTGATTTCTTATTGTTCAGACCTGTGCAGGTTTTGACAAAGACTATTATGCAAAAAAAAAAAAAAAAAGGCAAACTAATGCATGGCAAGGAAAAATTTTAGATATAAAAAGCTATTTTAAAATTCATTATACTTTCTCTTTCAAATACTACAGTTGCTCTAAAATCCATGGATTAACTTAAACATGTCACAGATGTTTTTGATAATCATATTTCTTTAGTTTTTTTTCAAGGACATTTGTACATACTGTTTTAGTCTTCTCCCATGTACATTACAAAAACTAAAATCTTGTTAAAATTACTGGAATTAAGAACATGTTATATTGATTTGAGTAAATTTCACATGACAACTAAAACGATCTACCAATGGAACAAGTCTTTTTGTAATTAAAACAGTGGAAAGAGGTAAATACTGCTAGTTACAACAAAGTAAGAAAAACAAATCTTAAAACTTGATATAAGAAACTAAATCATATGTTGTTTGAATGAAAGAACTCATATTATGTTATTTTGTAATCTATGTTATAATACTGTTTCCTCATCACAAACATACCTGGTGTTTTGTTTCATACACACGTTTAACACACAAACCCCGCATATTTAGGTTGTCCTTTTCTCAAACAGAAAACACTCTGTTCCACCGTGTGATGTCATGTGGTAATACAGAAAAAGCTCCATACACTTTCAGCAGAATAATTTGGATAATTAAATCCCTGGAACTGCCAATCTTTACTGAACTAAAGGTAAAAAACTACTGCTTCATGACATCACAAGGTGGAGCAGAGCACTTTGAGCTTTGGAGATGTAGACAGACTAAAAATAAAGGATTACTCAAACAGGTGTGAATGAAACAAGTCAACTCTGGGCATGCTTTTGATGAGTAAACATGCCTTAAAGCTCACAAGAATCAATTCTGTGTAATATAGAACCTTTCAAAAAAAAAAACTTAATCCACTGGTAGATAATTTTACTTGTCAATGAAATCTTCTTAATTTGACTAATTGGATCTTATTCAGATATTACTTATTGCAGCGTGGCCTTATACACAGATATTGTTGTAAACAGACATGAGTTGTGTATTTGTGTAGTTTACAGATGGTGATTTCAGATGGGAATTGCCAGTGTGAAGGCCACCTGATTCTGTCCCTGGTCCTACTTAATGTGTCCACGCTTTAAGTGGTAACTCCTCCCTGACACAAACCGCTCTCCAGCCTCTCATTTCACTAATAGAACCCTCAGATCATTATCAAAGCACTATTTACCTCTGTACAATATTTTAATTAGATTATAGTCTCTATTTAACCCATCATGGACTCTTTGAAGCTCTATGTTTTTAGTGTTAAGTCCTCAGATGCGCCATTGGAACAAATGATGGAGCTCTTTCTGATTTAATGAGCGCCGCTGCCCATCCAGACCCAGTCCCCTTGCATCTCTCCCTGCTCCCACCTACTTGTTTTTGCCATTGAAATCCAGTTAATTGAAGGGGTCTTTCAGTGCTGTAGATGAAGGGGGCAAATTAGCATCCCTTTTTGCCCATTGGGAAGCGAAGGCAGATGCTTTGATGTGAGAAAGGCGCTTTCAGTAGGCGGCGGCTTCGTGAAAATGAGCTGATGGTCCTGCTATTAGGCCCAAATGCAGATCCGTCCATGTGTTGCAAAACGCTTAATCTTTTAATTGATCACCTTCTGCATGGCCTGCTCCAATCCATTTTTTTCCCCCCCCTGTACTCTCGGCTAATCAGCAGCGCATTTTGAAGATGAGATAAATTGCTTTTCAAAAGACAGGAGCGCAATATAAAACGAAGACACAGGAATATGCGTTGTTGTGCAAATGAGCCTTTAAAAGGGCCCAAAAAGCTTATAGCTCTATTTATTTTTATTTGTTCTATGAAGCCATAATATTCAACTAAAGCCTAATATTAGTTTGATGTACACCTTTAATGTTCAGGCTAAGTAGAAGAGAAATTTTCTAAATTATGACCCCTGACACTATCACTTTATGTTTAATGCATTCTGTATTTTTCTTATTATATGGTCTCTATATTTTATCACTATATTTATGTTACACACAGGCCATTTGTTGTTAAATTATGTTTAACTTGTTAATAAAAGAAAGCTATACATCTGAAATGTGTCTTTTGTTCATGTGTGTATATGGACTGAGAGAATCACAAAAAATACCGTTCCTTAAAGCTGTCATATCAATGTAGAAAATCATATTTAAACTTGGTTCCTAAAAAAAAAAAAAGCTCAAAGGAGTCACTGAAGAACAGTGTGGAAAACAGCGGGTTTCTTGACGCCGGGTCGCAGTGAGCAGTTCACCGGGATGCACTGGCGGCTTGTCATTATTCGGTGTTTGCACAGCTCCAGAAACAGAACGCCCGCAGAGCGCACGCCGCCTCCATTACCGCTGTGCGCCTGGCTGCGCGCATCGCTCCCATAATGCACTTGTTACAACATATTCGACTTGACTGCCTTTTTAACTCACTGGAGGAGAAAAGCTTTGGCTAGTGCGGACAAAGGCTTTGCTTTACGCACACGGAATATTGAGGGACGAAAGTATTTCCAAAAGAAAAAAAAAGAGTGTAATGAATCATTTGTAATGCTGTACTATATTTATATAATGTATTTACATCTCACATAATTATTTATGGAAAGATTATTGTAATCTTTCGCTGTGTACATTTAAAGAAATAAAAAACGAACATAAAACTATAACAGACAGTGTAAAAGTGCAAATAATGGGGCACATGCGTTTATATTACAAAGCCAACAGTCGTGATTTTTGTACACAATAATAATAATAATAATAATAATAATAATAATAATAATAATAATAATGGTAAAACATTTTGTTGGCTAAATTATATAAAATGCTTATTTCAAGAGCGATATGAATTATTGTTTACAACATTTTAATAAATATAGGCAATGTTTTGAGATTTTCTAATATTTACACAACTGTATAAAGTCCCGTGTACCGTGAGTCTGTCGTTGGTGAAGAACAGTCTACTATAGTAGATGTTCCGGGGAACAAATGTCATCCTCAATGTCCACGTCGTCGTCGTCCTCCTCGTGCTCGTCCAGCATGTACGAGTCCGGCTCGAGCGCGTGCTTGAGCTCCTCGCTGCTCTTGTCGTTCAGTTCTCCTTCACTCGAGTTTTCCGCAGATCTGTCCACGTCCCCGGGTCCTTTGCGCTCGTCCTGGGCCTTTCTCAGCTGTTTCTTGTGCTTCATGCGCCGGTTCTGGAACCACGTCTTCACCTTGGGACGTACAAAGTTACGTAAAACTAAACTTTATTTTTTAGGTAGACCAATAGCAGGACAATACAAAAATAAGTAGCCCTAATTAGGAAGAGGAAAATAACCACAGAAATGAAACAGCCTAAGGTATGTAAGAATGAATTAAGGCCAATATTTGCCTTCATTTCCGCATTGAGTAAATAAAAGGCTACATTTTATCTTGGTTTAAAAACTAAAAATAACTATAACTATAATTTGAACATTTTATTTGATAAAGCCTAGTATTATATTCAGATCTGATGAAAAAAACAACGTGTACAAAAGCACGCGTGTAAAGAATGTTACACTTTTACGCACGTTTTACGCACAGTGTTTTGTATAATTTGACTGGCCTAATGTTTAGTTTTTTATTGTTTTTTTTCCACATTATAGACGAAGGCTACTGTCCGCCTTTCCCTGACCACCTGACCCATCATACTTTTGAAGCTTTTGCTGGGTGGGTTTACCTGTGTCTCGGAGAGGCTGAGCGCCGTGGCCAGCTCCACTCTCTCCGGTGTGGACAGATACCGCTGAATCTCGAACCTCTTCTCCAGCCCGGACAGCTGAGAGTCAGAAAAGACCGTGCGGGCCTTCCTCCGCCTGCAGTGTTTCCCGGGCAGCTCTGCGTGATGCTGGAACAGGGCCGGCATCTGCATCCCTGAGGGTAAAACCACGTGTAAAATAAATTCGCAACACTAAAACAAAACAAAAATAAAACCGGGAAACAATCGCTTTGTTTTTTTCAAGACACCCAGCTAAATAAATATATTAACAACTGAATGTTTCCTTGATAACATAACAAGTATCACCATAGTTTAAAACAATCTTGACACGATCTCGCAATTAGTAACAAAATTATTGTCCTATTTCTAAAGAAAAACTAGGCCTATACAGTTCAATTTATTTTTGTTTATCCCAAAATCACACCATCAGTCGCCTCGCATTGCTTAATAACAGGACCACTATGGCTATTTTATTTAACCAACATAAAGATAGAAATCAAACAGTGTCATTGGTCAGTAAAATCAAGACAATTAACCAACATTCAAAGAAAATAAACCAAGAACATCCTCTGTACTTACAATAACAAAAACATTGTGTATTTTTATTTATTTGTATCTCAAGGCATAGCTTTAAATGTTTTCCAGAGGTGAAAACTAGGCCATTGTTGATGATGTGGTAGACTATTTCATAAAACTACAATACCACAGACCTAATAATAACAATTGCGCCATACATTTTAGATCTTATTACTTAACATCTTCGCTTATTTCTCTTACCAGAAGTGAAGAAGTACTGGTGGTGCTCCGGTTTGTGCAGAGGATGGTGCGGGTGCGGTGCCAGGATCGGCGTTGGCATAAGCGGGTATCCATACTCCAAGATGGGCATACGCGAGGCCAGCGAGTTACAGAAAGGCGACGGGATGACTTCTCGCAGCGGCTTTGGCTTGTGCAATAAAATGTCCTCAATAAAAAACGACGTGGACCTCTGCGTGGGCGCCGCTGAAGCGTAGTTTAGGCTCATTTTGATTAGTTTCTTTCTATACTTGCATCAGAGCGTTGTCCTTTCTGAGTTCCTCCGGTTTAAACGTAACCTCTGCGCTGTGTTTGATCAGTGAATGACACTACGGTGAGCTAGGATGGACAGCGGTGGGAGGGCGCGTTACCAACAAGTATTTATTCGGCTGGAGTAGAGGATTGGGTAAATTGATTTGGGATTCAGCCAATTAGAGAGCCTGCAGCGCACGAGGGAGTTGAGAAAGGTTGGTTCTTGTCTCCTATTGGCTGGGAGACGTGAGGGGCGAGTGGGGAATCAAACATGTTGCAAATAAACGACGATGGACCGGGAACTTGCTTTATTTCTATAGAAGATCCCGTCCTGAAATTTTAACTTATGAACAGTACCCGATATAACAACAGGTGTTTTGAGCTGTGTTACTAATAGTTTAGCTCTTTGGGCTTCATTGGATATTAAACTTAACTTCATAAGCAATTGTAATATTAGTCTATCCAACGTGACTCGTTCCTTGTTGTTTACTTTACATTACGACTTAATTTTACGGACTTTTTTCCCATTACCCTTTTCAAAATAGCCTACACAATATTTTGTTCTAAATTCTTAATTGATATGACAACAGTCCTAATTTTTAATCATTTTTAAACGCATGAATATTGATCTTTGTTTCTAATATACTCATGTTTTTGTAGATCTGTTGACCTAAATCTGATAAACAGACGTAAAGGCCTACATATGTTAACATCTGAGTACTTATAGATAGGACAATACTGCTTTAATTAGCCTGTATTTTAATAATTATGATATAAAAGGTCGATTGTCAAACTTACATGCAAGTAGGCAATAACTATAATTTATAATCCACATATAGGTTGGATTTAAAAGTACCCAACAAAAGCATTAACGATGGTCACAGTAGCACTTTCAGTTCCCCAGTATATTTACCAATTATGTGGTCAGACTCAAAACTTTAGATTGCCTGACTGGCGCTGAAATTGAAATGAGTTTTTAATTGCCCGCGTAAATCACTTGGATAACTCGCGCTCTGTTTCTCGGAGCTGCAGATTTCGGAGCCCTGTAGCACTCGCCACTGGAGGATAGGCCGTTGCAGGTCTGTCTTGTAATTCCGCCCAAATTGGCTGTAATTGTGGGTATTCAAATCTGGGAGAGTAGAAGTGGCGCTCCTGTGGCCATTTGCGGAAGAAAGCGCTGCGCTGTAATTTGTTGATATGGTGTTGTCATCACATTTCCAATCAGGCGCTAATGTTAAAGTGTTTTAATGTAAGCGGCATTCACGCTGCAATGCTATTAGGCAATTAAGGCAGATGTTAGAGCGGAAGTTGTAATCCACGGGCCATGACAGGATTTTTACTCTAGAACAAATTAGATACTGGATTCTCAAACTGTCTCATTAATAACTGGTGGTTTTCAGATTCTAGACTGTGATAATTTCATATTCCCAATTTGATTTAGAACAACATTACACAACCCGATGTTTTAATTAAGCTCAGTTGAGATTATATTTGTATAGCACATTTAAAACAACTTCAAATGACCAAAGTGCTTCGCATAAAAGTAAAAAAACAAACAAAAAAGAAATACTGATAACACGATACATATAGGAAAAGTACAATAAAACACCATATGATATCTACTATGTACAGTAACGTTAGTAGTTATATAAAAACATTTTACATGTCATGCACAGACAATTTTGTCATGCAAAATTTTGTAAAATTTGTAAAATGCCCATAAGAAGTTCAATATATATTTGTATTAAGTATTATAAAACTGTAAAAAGTTGTTATGTCATCTGAAACCCAGCAATAGTCATGGTCAAATATTTGTTTATTTTTTTACACAACTTCCTGAACTATCTCGTGTCTTCTAAAAATACAGCTAGTTCCCATACAATTTGCTGGGGACCACTTTAGGACCAATTATTATTTGATGGTAGATTAGTGAAAGCGTTGAGTGATCGATCCAGATTAGGGAGCTGTTACCTTGGTGTTTGGAGGTGCGCTGGAACAGAAAGAGGCTTTTTAGGACTTGGCAGATGGAGGTGCGCCCGCTGCACCTGGCTCTGTGTCAATCCCTTTACGTGGCGCACGGGGATAACAAGGCGCTTTTAGAGGGCAAATTAGAAAGTAAATGAAACAAATGGTGATGAAATCGTCTTAAGGATTCGTTCTTGTGGCGACGTTAAGCAGCTTTACGTAGCCATTTCATTAAGTAAAATGTGCCGGGGTACCTGTGCGTCATTGCGTAAAAGCGCGCGTTTGGATCTGGATAGTAACCTAAGCTCAGAGACGGTTTATTTATCAATTTAAAAACAAATTACTCTTATTGTTGGTATTATTGTATGTACATATATTTAGTATTTTTCCATTTAATTCATAAGTGATTTTATAATCGCTTTCACAAGTTTGCTGTAGAGTAGGCCTAACTATTATCTAAAACCTTGCGTTATTTGCAGAAACGTGCTAGTATTTAGGTCTAAGATTATTCATATACATAAACATCAACCTAAAAGCAATATAGCTTAATATTCAATGCTTTGTCCTTTTCATGCACAAACAGTTTTGGTGCAACGTGTTGTAAGAAGGTCAATATATATTATGAAGTTAATTTCATTTGGAAAAAAAGAGACACGTCCCAGTTTTCTATTCTTTTTATTGATTACACTTAAGCTTTGATCGCTGTGGCTCCGAGCTCCAAGGAGTAAACGGCCCGGATGTGCACGAGCTGAATCCACAGCGTGTTCGTGGATGAGGCTCTGACTTGTCTAATGAGAGTTCCCGCTCCTGGGGCATTCATGCATCCGATAGGCGCACATATAGAAGATACCTGAGGAAAAGACAAAACACAACACAGCTTTAATCTTCATCTTTAATGTCCAGGTAATAAACACAAGATCAAGTGCAATGTTTAAATGTATTATCAGGATTTTCTTGCTTATATGGGATCACTTGCTTTTGGTTTACATGTAATCAGTTAAAATATTGATTGATTGATTGATTTCGAGCTTGTGACAAGTTACAGATATCAAATATTTACAGCTACATGCACTGCAAAAACAGATATCTAGCCAAGTTTAGATTAGAAGATTACCTGAAATAAGAAAGTTTTATCATGATCTGAGTCAATTTCACTTGACAAGTAAAATTATCTGTCAATGGAGCAAGACTTTTTGTAGTTAAAATATGAAAATACATCTTACTACACTTAAAATAAGGAAAACAACAACTCTTTGCACTTAAAATAAGAAACAAAATCAAACGTTGCTTGAATTAAGAAAAACACACTTATTATTTTACTTATTTACTTTACAAGTGGAATCTTCTCATAAACTGAAATGTTCTTAATTGTTATTTTAACTTATCAAGATATTGTTTTTTACAGTGTGATAGGTTTGTTTTGATATTTTACATAGCTATGCATTTATACACACACGTGCCTACATATTCACAATACAATGATAAATGTAACACAAAAATACTAATATTGAAAAAAAAAAACATTGGAAGATGTATCAAACAAGAATTGCATTTTTAAATTGTTAAAAATAATCAGAAAAAAAAAAAAAATCTAATAAATTCAGCCAAGGTTCTTAAATTGAGTTATCATTTGTTATCATCCTCTTACGAATTTTCTTAAATGGGTAACACTTATCTACCCTTTAATTACCATGAATAAAGCATAAAGACTTCACAATAAAAAACTGTGTTCAAGTCCTTCTTCATTCTTTATTAAGGTAAATTAGATGCAGTTATTTTGTTACCCTTCTGGATGGTCCTGAAAATACAGTAAATATTCAAAATAAAACATTCTCTGGGAAATAATATCACTGGTACTGCATAAGTCACTGGTTTTCTTTGGTCCTGTTCCTCCAAAATGCACTAAACCCACAATGCCAGCCCACATTCTAGTACAATAAATACAGAAGGGACACTCAGAATGGTTACTTGTCCAAGGCCTCACAAGTGCCTGTAATTTAATCCCGCTACAAACGCACAAAAACATGAGCAAACACCAAACAATTTTATAGATCTGCAAAGTCAAATAGCTTCAACCTTTGGCCATTTCCTCCTCGTTCCACACATTTCACCAAATTGCAGGTGTACTTTGGTGTTGTCCTGCTAACAGACCAGCTTTTCCTTGATAGCGGACAAGATAAAACACTAAATACCGCTGTGTGGGCTGCATGCTGTTTAAGAGAAGCACAGAATACGCATAATTGTGTTAGTTTTCATGTGTAAAGCCAAACGAAGGGGGGTCTGGCAGTGATTTCCTACTAAAGCAGTTTGATATTGAGTACAGTAGGGTCCCCGTGGAGAGGCAGGTACTCACAGCGGGAGGAGGATCCAGAGAGATGGACATGTACTAAAAGCATCAGTCCCTCATAATGTCATGTCATTGATTAGAGGCTTGGCAAAGGGTTAACCCGGGGAAGCTGTGATGGTTTTTCATTACTAAAGTAAAACACGGTATTGTCTGTGGACTTACATTCACAGGTAGTAGACCTGGGTACTTTTCTGTTGTTTTTTCAGGTCCCAGTACTTGAATAATTCCTAATTTTTGACACCTATTCTTATTAGCTCACAAAACAAAGCTGCAATGTACAAGAAATTCCATTAAATAGTATTTCTTTGTCTTTTGTCTTTGTTTTTATTGTTCATTTGTGGCGACACTGTGTTTCTATTTGTGCTCTGTCAGGACCCGTTTCATCAAAACTTAATAGAAGAGGTACTTTTTCTGTACCAGTTTTCTCTTCCAATCTTCTTTACCTTTTTATAGTTCTGTACTGGCACCACTAGCCCTGTTCATATGGCGCATACACAGACTTTATGTAACTACATACAGAAATATAATGGTTTTGATAGATTTCCTTATCCACAAAAATGTGATTATGATCTGATTTTAGATTTCTTTTTTTGTTAACTGTGGTTTAATCTTAGAACTTTGACTACAAGGGAACCACATTTTGATTTTCCACATGCACAAGATATTTATTCTCCACTGTTATAGCTCTTCTTCTAAATTACTAACTAAATACTAGTTACTGTCTATGCCTATGTGTGTGTTTCTTATTTTAAATACTAAACAAAAAGGACACGATCATATACATACATATTGTGACAAAGAGGGCCATTGTCCATATTTGTTCACATTTAATTTCATTTTACATCTGTTTCCATATTCTACTAAACAGCTAAATATGACTATCCCGGGTTTGTTTTATTTAGTCTTTGTTTAGTTAAGTTAATCACTACACACCAGTTACTTTAAATATGTTTTATTTGGTTATATCTATTAATTTTGTTACATACAACTTACCATCTTAAGTTACTCCATGTGGTCTGGAGACAAAAGAGGGGGTGTGACTTTTGTCAGCCATATTTGTAGTCTCTGGGGGAGGTTTTGGGCCAGACCATGTGGAGGGAAGACTGGGTTTCAGTTCTTTTGTTTTATGGATTTTGCTTGTTTGATTTGCATATTTCAGTGTTTCTAGTTAATTTTGAGCACTGTTATATAAAGGGGACTTAAGAAAATATGTAGCACAGTGTAGGAACAGGTGAAGTTTCTAGAAGAGCTCACCTGCGTTAGTTGGCGCTGACCCAGAGGGAGGTACTTCCTGTCTGGGGAACTATAAATTAAGAGCATTTCAGCCAGTCGGGGGTGACCACCAGTGTAGCCGTGTGGACGTGGGTTTTTTTCTTTTTTTTAATTTTTTTATAAATATGTAATTTTTCATTTTTTCCACAAATTCATGGTGCAAGGAAGAATAAATATTTTTTGGTAAAATGGACATTTTCGTGTCTTCCTCCTATTTTAACTACTTTGGCCAGCTCCCCCACACATATACAGTGTGGCCATACCAAAGCCTGATCTTGTCTGGTGTGTGTGAGTGTTGGTGGTGGAGAGGCTAATGACGTAGATTGGCAGCTACTTATATTGATTAGTAGACTAATTTAAGGTTCACTATGGAAGCTTTCTGGTTGAGAGACCATCTATAATGTTCCACCGTATTATTACTACTATTTATGTTTCATTCTTAAATTATAGATGATTTTATTGCCTTGAAAAACTTACTTACTGTGAAAGTGCTCACCTCTCATAGACATAACTTGCCCTGGTGAAATCAGTCACTTGATAGTCTTAATATGCATGTCTCTATTTACCAGTATAGATATTTAATTCCATACTGAGGAACATTCCAGGCAAAGCTAAGTCTCCATGGAAACAAACAGGTGGCGGACCAGAAAAGTTGCTGTGGCTTTTAAACGCAATCATGATTTCTGTTTTTTTTTTTTTAATCCACAGTTTGGGTTTCATGTCGTACCTGAAAAGAAGGTGAGGACCACGGACACCCAGCCGATTATATAGGACCAGGAAAACCTCCAGTTTCCATAGCGCTTCCCATAGTAGTTTATAGTGACACCAGTGTACACAGCCATAGCCAGAAACACGAAAAAGCCTGCAACACAAAAGCACAGAGTCTGATTTACAATATCTTTATAAATGTGATTATTATTTGCACTACATCTATCTCCCAAAGTGCCATAATCTAAAAGTGTGGATTGTCACTAACAAACAGGGCTATGATATAAAATGTGCCTCCACTCTTTCAAAACAAAAGCTGAAAAAGAAAAAGAACCACAAGTGAAACCCCTTTGATTGCTAAAAGGCCATGCTTTCTTTGTTGTGAAATTGCGGCGATAATGGAGGACTCCAAATGACTTCAGCCTTAGTCTTTGGTGTCTGTAACCATCGGCTGTTGATCAAAATGTGAGTTCAAAAAGCAGAGAATAGAGGCGAATACATGGCAACCTTCAGGCGAGACGACTTACATGAGATGAAAAACAAAATGCCTGCGGCGAAGGTCTTGTCGAAACGGTCGAAGGAAGAGTAATGGATAAAGGCCATGACTCCTATGATGATGCCGATGAAGCACGCCAGCAGGGACAGGATCATCAGGGCGCGTGTGGCATCTAAGTGGGCTGAGGAGAAGGACAGGGGTCAACGGAGATCACAATGGGGTCATGGAGGGGTCAAGAAGGTTAGGGTTATAGGGCTATAGACTATGTGACAGCAATAGTGCCACAAATATACACGTGTCTATTAGAATGAAACAGAGTCAATTAGGAGCTCATACTAATCATGAAGTGTAAATGAGGTGTGTTTCAGAATGATGAAAATTTACAATTTAAAACTAAAAATTATGATTGGGCTACTAAAAATGCATGACAATATTAGTTAAATGAAGGTTTAAAAGGCCTATATTAAACTATTTCCTGATTTATCTTACAATACTTTTTCCCTCATCAAAAACATGCCTAGAGTTTTGTTTTGTTTCATGTTTAACACACAAATCCTGCATATTTAGGTTGAGTTATATTAGCTTGATTCATCAGCTGGTTTCACTTCGTATAAATTGTCTGACCTCGCAGCATTAGGATTCGTTTGCTAGACGGTAAACAGGTACTTTTTAAATTTAATCAATCGCTGCTATTTGGTCGTGACGTATGCAATGCGCCGTTAACGGGGTTAACTGGTATATTAAGCTTTTCCTAAATCCAGTAGAAAGAAGGGCAATAACGTCTTTCCCCTTGATAAAATTCACCAAACATTCTCTTTGTTCCGACTTTAAATCCTCAATCTCAGGAATCGTTGCCAACACAGAATGTATGGCTCTTCACTGATTGGCTGGTGCCTGAACTCGCACTAGAGTATTCATATTCCTGACCTAGTTGCTGGAGAGAAATGAAATTGAGCGGAGGCACTAAGTGGCGCCAGCCTGGCTAGAATTATATAGTAACTTAACTAGAATTATGTGGATGATTTCAGCCCTGGAATTGCTAGTCTCTACGGAACTGAAGGTAAAAGGTAGCTGTCAACTTGAAAACTACCCCTACATGACATCACAAGGTGGAACAGAGCATTTTGAGCTTTGAAGGTGAAGACTAATAATAAAGGATTACTCAAGATAGATAAGACTAATACTCTACTGTGGAATATTCCGAGCAGTAACATCTGCTTGGAGACAAATAGATGATGGACCCCAGAAAAGTTCCATAGTGTCCCTTTAAGTCCCTCCTGGTTGTACTGACCGATGCTGTCATTGTGTGGGAAGCATTTGCCCGGAGTGCAGTAGCGCCACAGCCCCTGGTGCATGTAGTTGCTGGACTGCCGGTACTGCATCCAGTAATCGGTTGCCGTGGAGACGATGAGGAGGATGTTCCCCACGCCAGCGCAGAACAGCCCTCCGCCCATAAAGCTGTACATCCTGGACAAGCACACAGGTCAGTTAGCACCAGCCACACTCACCTCTCATCTCCGTCAGTGAACTCGTCCAGAGAGCTCCAAGTGTTCACAGCAGCTCTTCTACAGGCCATAATGTTAAACCAGATGGTAGCAGCTAAAATTCATGCTATTAAAATGCTGTTTTTTGTAATACAAGAAGTTAATTGTTTTTGACACTAGTTACTTATTTTTTCTTATAAAGACTTATATTCCATAGTATTTAGACCTGATGACACTCATTAGTCACTGAACATGTTTTATAGCTGACTTAATTTTGCCTCCAGTTGCCTCCATTCCAAACTGTTTAAATTTAGTTTCTCATAACATAAAAACTGTCTTAAAGTTCAACATATTCTCTGACAGTACAAATAAACCAAGTGAAGTTATTTTTCATAAAAGATTTAGAAAGTGGTGCCATTATTCAACACTAAAAACATGATTTTTGTCAGATAAAAAGACTTTCAGGCAGGTTAATTAAAGAATATGTTTTTACTATGTTCTACATCTTATATAGATACACTTATATAGATATAAGACATCATATATGTGAAGCAAAAGGACATTATTTACTAAAGTTAAAGTCAAATAACTACTAAATATTTTTCTTATACTTTATATTAAAATCCTCAAAGTAGCCACCCTTTGCCTTGTCGATTAAAAAAAATTAAAACATTTCTACATTATTCCATGTATTTAATATCTCATATATTTGATGTCTTCTTTATGTATATAAAATGTAGAAAGTAGTAAATAAAATAAATAAATAAACATTGAAAGAGAGCGTGTGTGTCCAGATTTTTGATTGCCAGTATTTGTTTAGTTATTTCCTTTACAAACACTAAATCTCCCATAGACTTTCACACACCCGTACCCCTCCTTCTGAAATGATCATCAAATACAGCTCGTGAACGCCGCCTATTGTGCTGTAATGACATATTATAGCGGTGTATTGAAGCTGGGGGTCATAGTTTTCTCTCTCTTTCACTTTGTTCTGGAGAGATCAGTCGCCCTCTTGTTGTCTTTGATACTTGATACATGTATTCCTCATTGTCCCACCTGGATGCAATATCAGGCCCCATCGTATCTTCCTCATGGAGAGTTGTCTCATATGTTTTTTTTTTTTTCAGATCATAGATAGATAGATATGTCTGAACCCTCAACAGGATTGAGAGCTTTGTGTATTTGGTGAAGTAGTACCTTGGGATGACTTTTTGGCCCAAGCATCCTCTACAACATCCAAACATTTTTGATCTGCCTGCATGTTATATTCCATACAATATAAAGAGGAGAGATTTGTTATAGACAGAAGATCTTCAGAAAAAATCAAGTTTGAATTAAAACATCTAAAGGAAGCCGGTAACGTAAGGACAATTCTATTTCCTTGTCTGTCAGTTTGAAATCCTTCAGTCCCCATTGGATTATGTTTGAATTATACTTAAATTATTGTATCTATCAAGTCATCTCTAGAGGTTGTGTCTGGGTTTTTCTTATATATCACAATGTCGTATTATCTTCAAATACAAAGTAATTTCTTATCTGTTTTCATTTGTGCATTTAACTGTTTTCTCTGTTGTATTGTCTGAAAAGTTAAAAAGTTAAAGTTACTATATGTGACTTTTTACAGTAAAATAAAGGCATGTTTTGTTTTGTTTTTTCCATTTTAGTTGTATTTATTGCACTGAAAACTGGGCTTGCATCTCCGCAAACCTGACTCTTATTACGGCCTAGAGGAGGGCCTTCTTCCTGCTCGTTTCCATGGAAAAGTTGTTCCTTTAGCTAAGAGGTGTGAAACTCAAATTCACAGAGGGCCAAAATTAAAAACTGGGACTAAGTCATGGGTCAGACAAAATATTTATTGAAAAATTTCAACAACATCTACAAGTTTTCTCTTCTTTCGAGATATGTAATGTTAAACCTTTTCTTATTAAAATAAATGGTTAATAATAGTTTTGCTTAAATATTGAATCCAAATCCAGCATAATATAAAATAATAACAAAATTTAGATAAATACTGTCTCTATAGTCTATTTGTAACCGGCGGGCCAGCTCTAATACATATTTGATATGATCTCGCAGGCCAAATATAATTATATTGCGAGCCAAATTATCCATAGTATGGCTTTAAACATATCTATCTCCATGAAGAATCTCTTTATCTCTCTGGTTTTAGCATTGTGTTTCCATGGAATTTACATACTATAGAAAGTTACATACTGTAGCTTTAAAGGGCCCATCTTACATTGTTTTCTGATCTATGTTATAATGCTGTTTCCTCATCACAAACATGCCTGAAGTTGTGTTTTGTTTCATTTACACATGTTTAACACACAATATTAGAGTATATTTAAGATAAATTCTTCTCTCAGACAGAAAACACAAATGCTCTGTTCCACCTTGTGATATCATGTGGTACTATTGCTCCACTGTGTTTTTAAACTACATACACCTTCACTAGAATCATTTGGACAATTGGAACTGCAATTTTTTTCTGAACAAAGGGTAAAAAATAGCTTGAAAACTATCGCTTCATGACATCACAAGATGGAACAGAGCATTTTGAGCCTCGGAGATGTAGACAGATATATAATAATAAAGGGTTATTCAAACATGTGTGAATGGAACAAAACTCAACTCCAGGTGTACTTTTGAGGAGGTAACAACATTCTGACATGACTTAAAACTCACAAGAGTCAGTTTTGCATAATATAGGAACTTTAACAATGAAGCTGAGAGAAGACAACCAAAGTTGGAAATTCACAATCAAAACAAATCACAACAAATTATAAAATATAATATCCAAAATTATCTTACCTCACTTAACCCCTCTGTACTAATTATTTATGAAAACTGGTTACAAAATACAAGTAGATCCGATAATGCCAAGACAGGCAGCTAATAGCACTAGCGCTGATGGGGTGAATAGGACGAAAGAGGGGCTACGGCAAGCAGACAAGGGACAAAAGGCCTGTCCTGTAACAGACCAATCACAGCTCAGCACTTTTGTCGTTTGGGAATCTGCTGAAAAAACAGAAATGAGCAGCACTGAAGTGAGAGTGATGACTGCATGGTTTTTATTCAAAGTGCGAGGCTGAACGGGCTTTAGTGGAGAGCAGGGCACGCAGCTGACCACTTTGTCTCATTGTTCAAAAACCTATGCTTACATAAACGTTAAAGGTGCACTGTGGAACTTTTCTGGTGGATGATCAGTCTCTTGCTTGTCTCCATGGTGATGTTATAGGTTTGCCTGAAATGTGTCACAGTAGGGTGTTAAACATATTGTATCTATTTTGTGTTTATGCAATTGTTCTTGCTTAAAAATGCCTCAAAAAAACACCACCCCTTCACCATAGAAGTGACCTGTAACTTTGGTGCTCCATACTTATCTCCATGGAAATAAATAAATACTGTGGAAATAACATCTGTGTCAGAAAAGTTGAATAGTGCAACTTTAAAGGGGACAGATTTCCTTAATTCCTTCAATCTTACTAAAAGTTTTATAATCCTGTTTTGTCTCATATTTGAGGGTTAAAGGATCGATATTACGTTGTTTTCTGATTTATGTTATAATGTTGTTTCTTCATCACAAACATACCTTTGTTTCATTCACATGTTTAACACACAAACTACATACATAGGCTGTGTTCTTTTCTCAAACTGAAAACAACCTGTTCCTCATTGTCATTGAGTGGAAATACAGAAAGCGCTCCACCATGTTTTTAAACTCCATACACTTTCACTTTAATTATTTCAGCCCTGGATTGGGTTTTTGATCTTTCTATTGACTATCTCTAAAGGTAAAACAAACAAAATATATATATACATATAGGAAAAATAAACACCACAAAAAACAAAATGTAATTTCTAAGTTCAGATGACTGGAATTAAAAAAGTTGAGTAAATTTCACTTGACAAGTAAAATAATCTGCCAGCAGAACAAGATTTTTTGTACGTAAAATATCAAAATACATTTTGCGACTTTTTGCACCTAAAACAAGAAACAAAATCGAATGAATTAAGAAAAACACATTTATTCCACTGGTAGATCATTTTACTCATCAAGCTGACTCTCCTACTGTTCTTAATTTAAGTGTTTTTACCTAGACATAGTATTTTTTTTTACAGTGAACACAACAACTTAAGAGTACTTTAAAATATTAAGCAGTTCAATTGGGACAGAAAATAGAAAACTACCTCTAAATATGAAACACAAGGTGGAACAGAGTATTTTGAGTTCTGAGGATGCAGACAGACTAACAATCCAGTGATACTCAAACATGTGTGAATGAAACAAACCACAACCCAGATGTGTTTTTGAGCAGGTAACAACATTAGAACATGACTAAAAGCTCACGTAAATCAGTTTTGCATAATGTATAACTTTTAATGTTGTACTCTGGAACATTCCAGGCAAAAAAAGAAACACTCCATTGAAACAAGCAGGCAGAGGACCCCCCACTGGAAATATTACATAGTGCAGCTTTAACATTTCTAGTGGACGGTCCACCACCTGCTTGTCTCCATGCAAATATGACTGCTTTGTCTAGAACATACATGTCAACCTCAGGCCCAGGGGCCAAATTTGGCCCGCGATATAATTATATTTGGCCCGCAAGATCATATCAAATATGTATTAGAGCTGGACCGCTGCCTACAAATAGGCTATAGAGACAGTATTTATTTAATATTTTGTTATTATTTAATATTTTGCTTATTCTGGATTCAATGTTTAAGCAAAACTATTATTAAACATTTATTTTAATAAGAAAAGGTTGAACATTACATATCTTGAAAGAAGAGAAAACCTGCAGATGTTGAAATTATTCGATAAATATTTATTTTGGCTCACGACTTAGTCCCAGTTTTTAATTTCGGCCCTCTGTGAATTTGAGTTTGACACTCCTGGTCTAGAATGTTCCACAGTAAAGATTAAACCTATTTATCACAAGGGACACAAGTTTACAGCACTACGCTACATTACAGCTCAGATCTGTGGAGAGCTGCCCCAATTCAGTGAAGGAATTATTGTATTTTTGAGCAACAGAAACACCCGTAATGAAAAAATGCTAGATGTGTATATTTAATGTCATACTGTGTAACATGTCAGGCAAAGCAATAACATCTCTACGGAGACAAGCAAACAGAGGACCTCCCACCAGAAAAGTTACACAGTGCAGCTTTAAGAACAGCCCTAGCTCCTTACATAAGACATTAGGAGCCCCATTTGCAGACATCAATCCACTTTCTCACAGATCTCCCGCACTCTCCACCTGCATGTAGGTCACATCTGAGTCAGGAGTGGTGTCTAAAATGGACCAGCACATGTCCACACAACGCATCAACTCCACTCGCAATCAACTGCCCCCTTCACTGGCCCTATCCGCTGCTGTTTTGCCTCTTTGCCACTTCCAGACGGCTCCCATATACACACATATACACGCACACACACAGACAAGATCAAAGGAGAAGAGTAGCGCCATTACCTGCATTACAGCAAGTTGCTCAGACCAATTGACAACAACAAAATGCCCCAGGAAAAGCATTTTTTCTACCCCAGATTTGAGTGCCGTACTTACACGTAACTTCATTTTTATAGACCACGGCTTATTTTCTTCCATCTGGAGTGTGGCAGCCAGCAGGGCATTTGAGATCCTCCCCATGCACCATCAAAGTGGACAATATGCCTATGTGACAGAAGTGCAAATCTGCCGTCTCCAAGATCCATCCGGCTTTTCACGCATCAATTTTGTTTTGGGAAGTCCGTGTTCGGAGCGGGGTAAGGAGCTGATGGTGTTCCCTGCAGAAGAGTTTGGAGTAGTAAGTAGTAGTAATTACAGATGTGGTGAAATGCTCGTAGCCGCATGTTTGCAATGAGTTTTGTGGAGTTGGTTTGCTTTTTTTTCATTTAAAGGAACCATATTTAAAGGGCTCATACTGTGCTTTTTTCTGATCTATGTTTTAATGTTGTAGTTTAATGTAGTAGAGTTGTATTTTGTTTCATTCACACATGTTTAACGTGCAAACTAACTAACCCTACATATTGCCCCACTATGTTTTTGAACTCCATTCACCCTCACTGGAATTTGGATAATCTCAGCCCTAGAATTGTAGCCTAATTCATCAGCCAGTTTCAGTTTGTGGAATCCGTCTGACCTCTCAGCATTTGGAAATGTTCACTTGACGGTAGGTGGACACTTTTTTATTTAACCAATCACTGCTATTTGGTCTTGATGTATGTAGTGCGCAGAATCCTCAGTGGTGTCCAAGTAATTGCCAGCACAACAGCAAACAAAGCAGGGAGTGAACATGTCTGTCAGCAATCACTGTTGACAGACATGTGAAGTTTATATCGTCTACATCCACCTCGACTGCTTTGTTTACTGTTGTGCTGGACCACAGTAGGGACCCAAACAGCCTTCTTCACTGATTGACTGGTGCGTGGTCTGCAACTTCCGGGGTTCTTGCAAAACATTTAGTGTATTCCGATTCCTGACCTAGTCGCTGGAAAGAAATGAAATTGGGCAGAGGCGATAGGTGACGCCAGCCTGACTATAACATTGTAGCCTCATCAAAAAACATACCTGGACATGTATTTTGTTTCATTCACACATGTTTAACACGCAAACTAACTAACCCTTCATATTTAGATCTTCTCTCTTGCTCCACTATATTTTTAAACCCCATTCATCCTCACTGGAATGTGTATAATCTCAGCCCTAGAATTGCCAATCACGACTTAACTAAATTTAAAGGTAAAGACAGGCATTAACTTAAACTACCGCATGACATCACAAGGTGGAACAGAGCATTTTGGGCCTTGGCGATGTAGACAGGCTAATAATAATGTATTGTTCAAACATGAAAAACAAAACACAACTTCAGGTATGTTTTTGATGAGGTAACAACATTATAACATGGCTAAAAGCTCACAAAAATAAAGTGGTAATTCCAGGATTGAAATGATGAAAGTGTATGAAGTTTCAAAACAAAGTGGAGCGGTTCCTGTATTAGCATATGACATCACAAGTTGGAACAGAGCGTTTTGTGTTTGAGAGAAGAACTCAGCCTAAATATGCAGGATTAGTGTGTTAAACATGTGCGAATGAAACAAAACACAACTCCTTTTTGATGAGGAAATTGAAAAAGCGTAACATAGGCCCTTTAAAGTAAGAATTTAAAATAGACTGAAGCCACAGACTGTATCATTGCATTACATAGTTCATATATAAGCACACAT